TTCTCATTAACTCGAAGAAATGGCGTATCGTTAACTGATACAGACAGCAATTTGAAAACAATACATTTTTGCAAATGTGTTAAACAGTATCTGTTCAGGTGACAAGTTTTGAAAGCACTGGAGTACAAAAATATATTTTTAACTAATCATTTAGATAAATGTAAATTCTCCTGGAAGAACTGTGGTTCAGAGAGGGTTTTCAATGTTACAGAATGGAACTGTGAGGCTATGCACTGGCTGAAATTATACAGCTACATCGTGCTTTGATGCGTGTTCAGATTTTCCCCTTTAAAAAGCTGTTTTATTGGAGCTAAATTATTGTAGGGCTATGAAAAGGTGTAGTTTGCTCTGAATTTATCCTTGGAGGGCCAGCAGATCATCGCTTTTTCTCTGAAATGAGATAGAAGGATCCGGATGGCGGATTTCAAGCCCATCAGGTGTTTAAAATATGCCCCTCAGCTAAAAGAATTATTATAGTTAAATCTGTCATGGCCTTTTTATTGCTTTGTGGTATGCTTGACAACTGCAGCCATGAAAGAGAGAATCTACAAGTAGGCCAGTCATCTTGAAGTGGAGTAGGTCAGTGATTGGTTTCTTTGGCTGCCCTAGGGAGTTTGATAGACATACGGACCTGGTTTATGGAATCATTAAATCCATCATGGTATAAGCTCCCATGGAGGCAGTGAATTTGTTCCCGTAGCTTTTTCCAGGCACCATGGCAGGCATTAGAGAAGTAACACAAGTGAAATCTGGAGGGGAGGAAAAAGGACACGGTCCCCACCCTCAACAAAACAAGAATTCCACATCTCTAAGGAGTACTCGGTAATAATAATAGTAATAATAAAGTGCATCTGGGCTAGTGCCTTGTGCTGCATTTCTCAGCTGGCACTCCTTCAGAACTGTCACATTAGGCTGAGTGCTGATAATTCATATCCCAGAATCCTATTATCTGAACACAGCAATGTCTCCACTATGTACTTTTGGCAAAGGAGGTGCACTGCTTTTCAAGTATCTTTAAAAAGCAACACAGGCTTTTCTTTGCATCTTGACAAACTGCTGCTAATCATGAAGAAAGAGTAAACCTGTTCATGCTGTTGTAGTAACTATAAGTACTTGCAGTCAAATCAGCTTTCAGCACAGGGGTGATTACTGCCTGACTCAGAGAAGAGGCTATGTTTGGGTTATTTATTTGCATGCATATGTAGATGTTTATACAGGCACCGATTTGGGGATGCTGATACAGTTTTGGCTTCTTTGCCACTTCTTGCTTCTTTCTCCAATTAAAAAAAAACCCCAACAAACTCATAACCAAATGAAGCAGACACTTTCTTTGTGTGTTTATTGAATAAACCATGGGGAAAGATAGCCTATAACTTGGTGTGTGTTAGCAACAGACTCATTTTGTGAGAGAAGAGAGCAAAGCCTTTATCCAGAAGTTTATACGATCATAGTCCTGCATAAGCAGTCTCTGATAGTTCTGGTGAGTTGTAAGGGTTATATTTGAAAGTGAATGTGCATGACTGGAGTGAAATGAAGTGCCATTAGTGATACCTCTTTTATGAGAACGTTATCCTGCAATCAGTTCATCCTGAGATAAATGCTTACGTTTGAACTCTTCCTGTGATTTCAGATTCCAGCGGGGCGACTACCACATTGATGTCTGCATCAATGACTACCTGGATGTGTTCTGCCCTCACTATGAAGACTCAGTGCCAGAAGATAAGACTGAACGCTATGTTCTGTACATGGTGAACTTTGATGGCTACAGCTCCTGCGATCACACCTCCAAAGGATTCAAGAGGTGGGAGTGTAATCGGCCGCATTCCCCAAATGGACCATTGAAGTTCTCGGAAAAGTTCCAGCTCTTCACGCCCTTCTCACTAGGATTTGAGTTCAGGCCAGGCCGGGAATATTTCTACATCTGTGAGTATATAGAGATTTACCACTGTTACACAGCAGGTGCAAGAAACCCAGCTAATTTTTCACCTATGCTCTATGGAAATACAAAGGGCCAAATGGTGTATAATACAGCTATCTTACAGTGCATACAGGCTTAACTATCCCCAGATACATCAGCTAGGAATCTAGCTACTGAAAACAAGATGAAATCACAGCTTGTTTTCTCACATGAAATAGCATGTGGCTACTGAACCATGGCTGACTCTTAAAGCAAAACACACTATTACATTTATTTCAGCACTCTGAGGTGGAGGAGGAGGAGGGGGCAAGAAGGGTAGAATGGAAGCTGTCCCCAAATACGAGGAAAAATAATGAATCCTTTGCATGTGAAATTCCTATTTGCAGAGGTCAAATAGTCTTGTCTATGTAATATTTATCACCCAAGGAAAGTGAGGTCTGTGTAGTTTGTAAGTGGTATGGCTGCTGATGTCAGTAGTCCAGCAGTATTTAAAGTTGTAATTTCTTAGGGTAAATACTCCTAGCATCAAGCCAAATGGCTCCTTTTTTCTTCCTTCCTCCTCCACCACCCCCTGCCCTGCTTTTTTCCTGGACAAGCTGTTTCTGTCAGCATGGGCAATGAGGTGTGCCGTGGGAGCAGGTGGCAAGCAGGGGAGTGTGAATGGGCTCACACACCTTCAGGGCCACTCACTGAAACAATAGGGAGCACCCTCCCAGAGCTCTGCTCTCTCCTCCATGGACACCTGCATTGGGGCTGCTCTGGGCACCCAGAGGAGCTGCAGGATAACATCTGGGACTAAGGAAGTGGAAACAGGAGGTTAAAAACCAGTGGGTTAAGCAAACTGATTCCCTGACCCCACTGCAGTTAATACTGGTTGAGCTGTCTCATTTGCTTAATCCTCCAACAAAGATCTTATTTCATCAATTTGTTTTCTACCTGAATCTTCCGCTCCTCTCAAGTTTTGACTGTTCTCTAGTGTTAGACTAGAGAGTTGAAAGCTTTAGATAAACTGTAGATCCCAATAAATATTGCCTGCACATGTGTAGCTGGCCTTTCTACTGTGAAACAGTCATTCCACCTCATTTCACCAGAGAAGCTGAGTATGTATTATCCCTGTTTTTCATCCTCATTTCTTGAGCATTGAGATTTTTCTTTTCCCTTTCTAAATCTACAGGGAAATACATTCCTGGTGGATAGTTTTCCGTTCATTTCTTTTTCTTTCAGCAAATAAAAACCATTAATGAGCAGTGGTTCAGCATCAGAACAGTGCCTTCTTCTTGTGCTGAAGTACAAGCATAATAAGAATACTAAAAATATTTTTTAAAATCAAACTGTAATGTTACTTAAAAATATTTTTAATATGGTCATGAGGAATCATGTACAGATATCAGAGTTACGTTCTAGGATAAATAAATCTGTACTGTGTAGGCCCAGTCCTGCTTGTGTCACTCACAAAAACTTGCCATTAACTTCTACAGGAGTTTTGTGTCATTCACAACTCTGATATCAGGCTCCCCAGGAACACTGGATTTTGGGGGGGGGGTGTTGTTTGTTTGTTTTGTGGTTTTTGGTTTTGATTCAGTTCCTGAGCATCATCAGTAAAACAAGCAGGAATACTTAAGCTAAGGAATGCAGTTTTTACCATCACATAGTTGCAGTAAAATGTAGCATAGGGATGTCTTCAGGAGCTGCAAGCGTAAAAAACCTCAAAAAACCCAACAAAAATTTGTTTTTCTAAATTTTAAAAAAGAAAGAAAGAGAAATGTTTAATAAAGGTGAAAACCAAACATGAAAGTGAAGGAAAAAAATGTGAGAAATCTCAGCTTCATCTGTCTAGCTAATATCTTCATTGTTAGAACATACAAAATCCATTGAACAGTCAAACAAGACATCATTATTCAAATACACCCAGGTTACTTATGCTTGGTTTTCCTCACTTGTGGTTGAATTTGATATTTCATTAAAAATCGTGTATCTTCTATAACGTTCATTTAACTAAGTCATTTAACTGTCAGGGACTCCCTTCAAAATAATTATTCCAAAGGCCTTTAAAATATGAAGAGCTTTGTGATATTCAACTGCATTTAGATGGAATGATGATTTTTTTTTTAATGAAAGGTAAAATAGCAAAAAATTAGCAACAAAGAGATGTTAATATATCAGTAGCTTATTTGCCTGCTATTCACTGAAATTAAATTTTTAGGCATGTTTCAGAAACTTGAAAGTATTTTTCCTCCTTTTCTGTAAGTATTTTTTTCCTTCATCCTTTGCTGAGGACAATAGCAAGGTTGGTATTGCAGTAGTTACAGAGAAGCACTTTACACTAAGTTAACAATTTTATGCAAACCTTCTCAGGGGAGAGTTGCCCATACTGGAATGTTTTTCTTCTAATTTCTGCTGAAGAAACAAGATGGTGAAACATTGATCCTTGTTTCCTTATCAGAATTGTAAGCAGGCTCTAGTCCAGGCTACAGAGATCGCCTTTGTCACCTTACTGTGTCTACATGTTAAAGAAATTACTGCTTCGCCAGGGAAGGTTTCCTTTCCTCAGCAGATCTGAAACCTTTGCCCTATCTGCAGGAGGGAGGGAGGGCTGATTATCTAGCATCAGTCTGGTATATTCTTTTTAAGGGTTACAAAATGTATCCTGTGGTCTAGACCTCTGGAAAGACAGAAATATTAAGCGGTTGGTGAGGTATTTAGCTTAATTACTGTCTAATGCTTTTTCAAAAATCTTCACAGTTTACCTTTTAAGGATGTGAGTTGCCTCTCTTGCTTGCATTATTTTCAGAACAATGCAATAATTTAAGAGCAATCACTGTCTCCTTTTCTGGACTGTTGGTTTTGAAAACGTCACTTTTCTTTGTTATTTCATTGCCTTCATATATCGCTCAGATGAACTTGGATTGCCCTTCTTCGCATGTTCATTCTCAGAAAAGACAAGAAAAAAAAATCTGGTACCAAATTTACACTGATCGAATTTACTTTTGAAAGAAGAAAAAGTTTTAAAAATTTACAGAGAAATTAACTTTTATTTAGTCAGTGAGTCCACAGTGAGGGACTGGGGAAAGTAAATAATAGATCATGACCTGAAGTCTCAATTTTTACTTGGTTCTTAGCAGGTGCTTACCTGAGGTTAGTGTATGTTAGCTGAAAACAGACAAAGTAGTATGACTACTGAACAGAAGCAAATGAAATAGAGAAAGCAGAAACTAAATACTTAGTGGTATGACAGTGATTGTAGTGTACTTTGGAAGGGAACATAAGTTTCAGTATGCAGGTTAAGGTGGGGTACTGTGGAAGGGGAGATGAACACAAAAGAAAGAAAGGGGGGGGGGAAGATCCAAAATGTATAATGTTATATAATTACATAATTCAGAATGAGGGTATGTAATGTATCTAAACATAGCTTAAGTGGTTCTTTCTCCATTCTTATTGGGAAAAGAGTTCCTTTCATCTCTTAAAAATCCTGTTGTCTTACGTATGGTTTATTTGTGTAACCTTTTTTGTTACTTTTTCTTTCTAGTTTTGTCTCATGCATATGTCTTTCTGATTTAATTTCAGAATGCTTTTGCTATTTCTTTGTATCACCTTTAGTGATGTGTCATTATCACTGTATCTTTGTTGTCACTGTTTATTTGCATGAAGCTTCTGGTTGTCAATTCAGGAAGTTTTTGTGGTAACCGTATTGCCCCGGACCACACCAGGATAGTATGCTTTTATGATTTGAATTTAATTATGCTTGTAAATGTTATTTTTTAATTGTTCTTAAATTTGTGATTGAATTAAGAAACAGAGTTTGTACAGTTGTACATATACTTCTTCTTCATAACACCCAGCTTTTTGATAATCCTTTTCCTCATGGAATATATTCCCAGGGAACCTGCTGTTACCTATTCCCTTGATTTTCTTTATGTTCACCTTTGTTCCCCATCATCCTTGTTTTTCTACACTAATTCCTTCTTTACCTGAAATGTCTGATGTTTATTTCCTGAGGGCTTTTATTCAAATGACATTTCACCCTGACGGTATTAGTTACTGCTTCTGTAGGAGAACTTGTGATCTTCATAATTTAGAATATAAAATTGTCTCCCTTCTGTTAGCTTGTTCCATCTCTGTGACTGGAAGTTACCCTTACCATGTTCTAAAAGCTGTGGAACTGTTTGAATCCTGCTGTCATTTTTCTCTTAACAGCTGCCATATCTCTGCACACCTCTGGAGGCTTCTCTGATTCAAAAGATCTCAAGGGAAAAACAGTAGTAGAAAAAAGTATTTGTGATATCACCAATTCTTTTTGCCTTACTTTTGCCTATTAATTGGGTAGTTAGCTTATCTTATTAATAAGGTCTCTAGCTGAACTCTTGTTGAGGCAGTAACATTCTCTGATGACAGTTAAGCTGAACTTTCTCTTCTCCCCTCCCCATGTTTCATGAGTGTGTGTTTAAGTGTTGATTCTTTGTGCTATTATGTTTGTTTAGTCTCTCCTACAATCCTCTAGCAGTTTCTCTCTCCTGTGTAATTCCATGTTACACGGCCAGGTTAATTTTTTGGGACAGTTACTGGCTTTTTGTCTCAAAGCTGTAGGCATATTTTAAAATTGTTATCATCAAGTTGCCTTGTTCCTGTTCCCTCCTTTCCGCATGAGATGCTTGCGGTAGAACCTGTACTGAAATGCTTTCTCCAGGTTGCTTAGCCACTGAATTTCTGGAAATGGGGGAGGACACGAAGCCACCACTACTTGGTAGTGGTTGTGGTCATGGTAAGGAAGACTAACTCACAGGGAGGAACTATACATATCACTAAGCAAATTAGCAGTTAGCGTAGGAAGGGCACTGTCCACTTTTTTATGGAAATTAAGGCAGACCTAACAAAAGCTTTCCATGACTAAGAACTTGGAACAGCTTCCAGATTGCCAGCTTGGCTATTATTCTTTTAGGATTGGTTTCGGTATAGCAAGAATTAAGAAAGGGGACTTTGTAGAGGCAAGATTGAATAGCCTTATACT